TCCTGAACGTTCTGATGTAGTTCTTGGTTCAAATAAGAATTACAATTGGTTTAAAAACATATTTTGAGGAAAGAGAGATTTAAGAATGTATTTTGAGGGAAAACACATTTATGAATATGAATATAAATGCGTATTTATGAAAGATGCCTCTGCTCTCTTTTGGGGAATCTTCTTCAGTCCTGCATACTACAACTTTATCCAGTATGAAAAGGGATCCCCCATCCTAATTTTTTTGGGGGGGAGGGGCTGCTGTGAAGAAAATGGGCTAGGGAACCTCTCTTAGCACCATTTCCCATATCAGAATCTGCATCTAATTTGAATAAGGCAACACCCCAAAACATAAAATTATGATTTGCATTATTTTTATAACAATATTTCTTCCATTGGAATATAATTTTTCCTCTTGCTACTTTATTATATTTGAATTAAGAAATTAACTGTATATAATCCATTCATGCTTTCTGATGGGTTCCATAACAATAACTTCAGCAGATGGAATGTATATCAAATGACTCAGCAAGCAAGTAAATTACAAACAAATGTTACTCTGGTACAGTGTGGTCCCGTGTTGCATTTCCATTGTATATGCTATGCATGTTTTCAACAACTTGTAGATTATTAAAGGCAGCTAATAGATAAGGTAAAGACAATGCATAATGCTGATCATGATCTCTAAGACACATAAATGTATTCGCATTCAAAACAATAGGGTAGAAAGAATTTGAAACTGATCCTAGTATTCTGGCTATTGAATAATCTCTTCTGTATGTACAAAGTCCAGTATTTTCATAAACAGTTTAGGATCTACATATGAGACTTCTGAATTCTGTTTTTGCTTGGGTCAGTTGGGTAACCAGTTCTACATGGCAGGTAGCCACTTATTTTCCCAATTTGAATGAATGAGTCATTGTTGGAAGCCTGGAGAAATAGTCAACTGCCCTTAATCTAGTGTCTATTTTTACTCATCTGGAGGGAAAAAAAACCCCTGAAAGTGAATTTATAAGCAATGGAGAATGCATTGGTAGGGAATCTAACCTTGTAACTCTTCTCAGTCTCCAGGGTCAGAAGATTGTTTTAAATGAAAGCTTATACGGTATGCTGTTGACAATATTATTTGACCCATGTTTCCAAGGCCAGAATCAACATCAGTTTTGTGTAGACACAAGTAACTGGAAAATGACCTAATAAATAATGAGAAGGAAATCTTCCTACTATATATATGTTTTCTCTTTTCTGTTTTTAATGCAAATGTTGTGCCTCATTAGAGGAGTAACCTTCATGCTAAAGACTCTGGGATGGGATTCCCCTAATCTATAATCAACATTTGTTAGAACACTGCTTGTGCAGATGAGCATCCCAAAACATTTTAATCCATACTGCTGATTTTCTTTCTGGGGCTCTTTAGATGTAGTCCCATCATCATCTGGAAAAGAAGTATTGAATGTACAGCATCAATTTCTGCAAACAAGTCCTTGTCTGGATGGTAATACAGGTAGTCCTTGACTTATGACCATTCATTCAGTGACCGTTCGAAGTTACAAACACTCTGAAAAAAGTGACCTATGACCAGTGCCCAAAGTTACAGCTGTTGCAGTGCCCTGCGGCCATGTGATCAAAATTCAGGTGCTTGGCAGCCTGCCTGCGCTTATGACTGCAGAGGCACTTCAAATCTCCCACTCGCCTATCTCCCCCCATGTATACCCTCTTGGCCCCCTGCTGCCCTGTGCTCTGCTGTCCCAGCTGACCATTGCCATCTTCTTGCTCCAAAAATCCCCTCTGCAAAACACCCCCTTGCAAAAAGACCTGGGTGGGGCTGGGCTATTGCTTTGTGTTCCGGAAAAAAAAAAAAAAATCCAGAAGCCCAGCCCCGGAGCTTTTTGCAAAAGGGTGTTTTGCAAAGGGCTTTTTTGGAGCAAGAAGATGGAGAAGGTCAGCTGGGGCGGTGCATGCAGGGTGGCAGAGGTCTTGGAGTGCAGGGTGGTGAGGGCGGCTGGGACTGGACTGGGCTGGGGCGGCTGCAGCTTCCCGGGGCATGGAAAGCAGTCCCAGAGCTGCCCAGTTCTGGGGCTGCTTGCTGCCCCGCCAGGCAGGATGCAGGGTGGCCAGAAGGGCGGAGACAAGGGGGAGATAGGTGGGTGGAGGGAATTGGAGGCAGTCCTTTATCTTACTGAGGCTTGGGGCTGAGAAGGACCAAGCCTGGCATGGCTTAGATTGAGGTAGGGACTCACTTAATGACCCGCGATTCTTGGTTAACGATGGCGACTGGAACTGCCAGGATTGTGGTCGCTAAGTGATGTGGTCACATGACATTGTGCTTTATGACCTCATTGCTTAGAGATGGAAATTCTGATCCCAATTGTGGTAGTAAGTCGATGACTACCTGTATGTAACAGATTTGCAATTAACTTGCTCCTCAAATTGGAATGTATATATATTTTAACTAGAGGAATCTAAATGAAATCATCCCCAGTAGATGGTTGAATAGCTGTTGCTTAAAATCTTTTATAATCAACTTCTCACATTTTCCAACCTTTAGAACTGGGTTAAAAATATGAGACTGCAGCTCTCTTATTTAGAAATGGATTGTAGTTTTAAAAATCCAGTAAATAGAGGTGCCAATTTTTAAATAAAAATGGCCAGGAAGGTACTTGAGAGAGAATGGGATCTCTTCTTTAAAAGTTAAATTTTAAAAAGCCCAACATTCTTACAGTAGTGTGGTATTGTTGGAAGACTAAAGGCTTTTTCTTCCTGTGCTTCCTCATCTGAGTATTAGTGTATCTCTGCAGTTGGCTTATACGTTCCAGTGTGTATGTAAGAATAGGAGAAAACAGAGATAGGAATGAGTATATTTTAAGCCTTCTAGTCTAGCCTAGGTCTTCAGTGGGTTTTATGGTGCTTCAAATAATAATAAATGATTCATATTTACATAGTGTTTTATTTTCCTAAATCATAAAGCACCTACATGTAATATTTCAAAAGCCCTTGTAGCTACTATTTAAGATGAGCCTTATTATTTTTCCCATATTGTAGATAGGAGGTGAACTGGAAAGACAGTCCCTTCCTTTCCCCAGCTGCCTTTAATGGTTTAAAAAACCCAGATGTCAGATCCAAGACAGCATTTTGTACCAGTTTAACGCCTATTAAGTGTGTTAGTGAATGAGGGATAATGCAAGGATAATACACTTAAATATGTGTTACTGTAATTCAATTTAAATGAATATGGGTCCAATGGATTCAGTATCTGTAGTTATGATTCACTGCTGGATAACTTTAGTTCACGCTGTGTTGGAATACGGAAGTTAAAATGTGCTTACTTTTTGTTTTGTTTTTAGGTTGATTTATGCTTGATGCTTAAATCTCTGTGCTTTCTTTGATTGTATGCCTGAAACTGGCAGAATCCTGTACATTTATTATTGAACCCCCAGAGCATAACAGCACTAAGTAACTAGATGATCAGATATGATGGACTTCAGTTCCCACGATATGACCTGATTACTGGAAACATCAGGCATTTATTTATTTATTTATTTATGAGCCTTCTGGGCCACTTCAGTCACAAGAGACTCTAAGCCGGTGTTTCTCAATCTCAGCAGCTTTAAGATGTGTGAACTTCAACTCTCAGAATTCCTCAGCCAGCTGATTAGGGAATTCTGGGAGTTGAAGTCCATTGCTGAGACTGAGAAACACTGCTCTAAGTGCTATCCAGCAATGGGACCCCAATACTTATGGAGAACACAAGATTGTTTTAAGAGCAAAGAATTATATTATGGGGTGTGGAAGGTTGAGAAGACTTTGCATTAGGAAAATGGAGGATAATTGCACTTTTCTCAGAATACACCATTTTAATTAGGTTCCTTACATCTATTAGTCACATGAATCAGCACAGCCTAAGGGTGGATGCTAGTGAGTGTCTTGAGTGATGAAAGAGATTTTTTCCTTGAACCTCTATTTACATTTCTTTGCCACAATCTACAGAAACCTGTAGGTGGCTAAACAGAGGGAAGCCTATCTGCCACAGAGCAGATTCTTGATAAACCTTCTGAATCCAAACCATCATGCAAACATTGTGACCTACCCAAAAAATGCACCCCCAACCTACTTCCCTATAGGGAGTTGATTTACCTCCTATTTTTGCTGCTTGTGTTACAATAGATACAAAGATTCAGTTATCTGGCACCTGGTAGGCCACCATACCTGACTGGTGGATTGTACCTTTGTAAATCAGGTCATGTGCAGGCATGATTTGTAAACTGCTACACCAGTTTATAAAGATACAAATCTGAGTTTTAACCTTCAGTCAGATCACTAGTGCATCCATCATACTTAGAACAGCGTTAACAACTGGCAGTGGCTCTCAAGCGTCTTAGTTGGTCAGTGAGGTGTTTGTTAGCCTTTCTACATGAAATCCTTTTATCTGGAGGAATAAGGGATCAGGGCTGCATTCAGAAAGGCTGAATTATGCCTTCAACATCTCATTTATTCATACATTACCACCTATTTTATAAATATTTGGACTACTCCCCTTTTTTTAAAAAAAAACTTATACATCAGGCCTGCATTAACTGAGTCTTACCAAGCCAAATTGTAGTTCATCAGCCAAGTATGGTGGTCTCCCAAAGGCTTGATAAACCTCCTGTTTTCTTTGTTGCCTACCTGTGTGATTAAATGCCAGGCAAATCACAATTCATGGCTGATGGACACTGTTGAGTTTCATGTTTCACCAATTCTATTTGAATGAGACTCCTGTCACAAGGCTTAGACATTCTTAGAGAACCAAGCATTATATATCACAGCTGCACGTCTACCTCAGATCACCATGCAGTACTTATCTACATGTCAGTTTCCTGCTATTACTTAGCTTAAGAAGCAGGAATTACAGAAAAAAGAGTGCCTCCAATAACAGGATTTAAAAGTATTTTTAAAGTTCTCTGCACTCTTAAAATAGCAAATAAACTATTCTCCTTATATTTCTGTTTTTTTTCTCCTCCATGCTATGGCAGTGGTGCTCCATGCTGATGAGACAATACTTGGTGCAACCCCAGGCAGTCATTTTTCAGGTAATTTCTTAGGATACCAAATACCTGACTCTTACTTTTTCAGGTATGAAGCAGGTCAGTTTCCCCAGTTATGGAGTGGGTTCTCTGGATGTACAGAGGTAGGCTGGAGATCAGTATACTTCTGCTCATGGCTACACCAGAGCTTATTGCCAGCAGAAAAAGTAACATTTTGGGATGCTGCTTAGATTTAAGGAATTAGGATAATAATGTGAATCAGGCACTAGTGTCAGGTATGCACAACTTTTGAATGCAGCCTCCCAGGTGCTGAGCAGTCTCTGTTTTTGGAAATCCCACCATAGACAGCTATTATGCAACACATAACTTGATGGCTAGATCAGTCTTCCTTGGTTTAACCAATGCATTTTCTGCACAATCAGTACACAACATGCATAATTCACAGATCTTCTCACCAACACATTAGTTGCATTAACATTAACAGCAATGTTATAAGATGCTTTCTGTTTCTGTAGCTCTCTATAATAGTGCTCTCTGTTGTTTTTACTTGCATAGTACCTCTACAAGCAAACTTCCTATTTTTGCAGTAAAGCTACCCCCTAAATTTTATATGCAGAGAGAATATTTGAAACTGAAAAGGATTTTGAGGAAGACTGACACAGTTTAAAGAGAAATTGGGACAATTTGATCATTTGAAAACCACCCATCTTGAATCAAAAATAATAAACTGACTTTTTTTTAAAAAAAAACCCTCACATAAGGAGGAAACAATTGCTGAAATATATCATGTAAGTGTGAGCAGTTGGATTAAAAAATAAAAACACATATCAACAATTTTCAATTGAAAAAACAAGCCACATTTTAGTTGGAGATGTGCCTTGACTCTACAGAAGTGCATGCTGAGAAACAATAATCTGTCTGCGTTATTTCCTTATAGAATATACAGTTTTACTGGATTGTGGTTTATGAAAAGTAATTGAAAATTTTAAAATAAATTGTGGAATGTTCCCAATTGATTATAATACATGGGCCAATTACAGAATATACAGTATGTAATGACAACATATATGATTTTTTTAGTTTAGCCCCTTAACTAAAACTATGGAATGGAGAAAATAATCTCATTGATTAGGGTGGGTGGAGATTTTTTTTGCTTCTGAAATTGCCTAAAATTTGAGTTTGGATTCTGGGAGAAGACTTTGAAAATCTTCCTTTTTCCTAGAATAGTATCAAGAAACAGTTCAGGGTTCTCCTGCCTTTGTGACATTGGGAATTGTTGCACAAACCATCCTCATTAACTCAGACTAACTTAAAGAAAGGGGTAAATAGATCAGAGATAAAAACAAGGATTGGTGCAATGACTATTGATGTTACAAAAGCTTTCCTTTTCCTGTTTGCTTGCTGGTAACCATCTCCAAAGCTTATTATATCAGGAAATAGAAAGAGTCTGCTGGTTGATGAATAAACAGTTGCAATTGTTACAGCTGGATAGGGGGAATGATGGCTATAGCTGGGGTGAAGGCTGAAAACTGGACAGAGGTGTGGCTGGAAATGGAGATGAGAGAGAAAATAAAACTGAGTGTTGAACCCATTTGGGAAAGAATATAGTGAGCAATGGCAACAATTCTTTGCATTAATGGTAGAATACAATACAGGTAGTTCTCGACTTTCAACCACAACTGGGACTGGAACTTCTGTCACTAAATGATGCGGTTGTTAAGTGAGTCACGCCCAATTTTACAAGCTTTTTGCCATGGTTGTTAAATGAATCACATGGCTGTTAAGTGAATCCAGCTTCCCCCACTGACTTTGCTTGTTGGAAGCCCCCTGGAAAAGTTGCAAATGGCAATCACGTGACCCCGGGGACACTGCAACCATCGTAAATACATGCCGGTTGCCAAGTGCCTGAATTTTGATCGCGTGACTGTGGGGAGGCTGCGGCAGTCATAAGTGTGAGGACCATGATAGTCACTTTTTTCAGTGCCATTGTAACTTTGAACAGTTGTTAAATGCAGGGTCATAAGTTGAGGACTACCTGTAATTGCTAAACAAATATTGCAATGGTTTGTATATTTTGATTAAATTCTGTTGAACTGTCTCATTTAGATGTAGCACATGGATAGTATTGTGGGGATTTGCTATTATCCAGCATTTGGTATTAATGTGAATGAGGACCAAGATTGTTTTTTCTTAAAATAATAATTATTGTTATTTTAGTTTAAAATCCAGTTTGTTGTTAGAATATCAATAACAGTCATGACAGCTAATCATGCTTAGAGACAATGTAAGTCTAATGTTGAGATCAAATAAGAGGGAGTAATATTTTTTTCATGGCTTTGTGTTGGAAATAGATTGCTTGACTAAATGGATTAGGCCTGATCCAGCAACTCAATTTTTATTGGGGTGGGGGAGTGCACAGAAAAAAAATATTTTGAAAGCTGCTTTGATGCTCTGAATAGCAGTCACTCATTTCAGTCTGCTTCAAGCAAGAACCTTTTTGTTTCCAATCCAAGGCAGAATCTTATTTTATTTTTCTGAAGCTTTAAGTGATTTTCCATTTAATTGCTATGGTCATTTCCCTTCTACTGACTTCTATTGTCTTCTGGGGCCATCCCACCATTGTTGTGCCCAATTCAGACTAATGAGGACAGGCTTTATATCACTTCAGTATTGGCTTGGTGATGCTGTTGTAATCAAGATGTTGTGAGGTACAAGTGAGGAATTGACTTACATGACAGCTACTGCTGCTGTCAAAATACCTGAAAAGGTATTCAGACACACTCCTTAGTGAAGTAGATCTCTCAAATGAGCCAAAATGAAATAAGCTGGTCATGAAGCTTTGGAATTTGGGTATTGGAGGAACTGTCAAATCCCTGACAAGGATTTTCAGAGCAATTCCTTCTTATCTGACACTGAAGCTGATATTGTTCTGAAGGCACTTATTGGGGCTTTGAACTGACCTGATATTCCATGAACATCTGGATTCCAGGTGGGTAAGAAGCTTCGGGACCCAGCATAATTCACACTGAGCCACTTCAGATAAACCACATTTAATTTTAGAGGGTGTCCAAATACTTGGCTCACTTCATTCTGATATTTGGGCTTTATTTTAGGTGGATGCAGTTTTCCTGATTCTTAAGTATTTAATTCATGATATTATCTGGATACTGGTTAATTATACTATTTGGAGCCAATTTAGTAACACTTGAATTGGTTTCTTCCTTAATAAATGCTTAATGCTACTTCAGCAGTCACTGTAAGTTTATTATGGAACAACTTCCCCAAATCAAAATATCAGTTTAGAATTAATCAATGTTGTTGCTAATCTAGATTCTTTCTTTGATTATATACTTTTTTTTTTTTACAAAATTATCTGGTTGCTCATACATGTGTTTCAATACACAGTCCCATAATCTGAAAAATATAACTCAAGGGTCAGGTATTTTTTCAGATGGTGAGCATCACTAGATGTTGCAGTACTCCCCCATTAAATTTAAATCATTAAAAAAATAAAATGAAGAAATTAAAATATTAAAAATGTTCAAATCTCCAAAATATTTCATTTTTGAGCACAGTGAACTCACAAGTCTTGTGAGATTCGACTGTCTGATATATCTACCAATATAATAATCTGCAGCAGATTCCTGACATGGAATCAGTTTGATGCTTGACAGATTTGCTTTTAAAAGGTTCTAGCCTGCAGAAATTGCTATAACATACATGTGTACCATTTTGCATAATTTTCACTGTGGCCATTTGTTAATGTAGAATGAACCCATGAAAGTATGGAGGAATTTTAATAGCATGTTTATGAGAGAAGCTTCAGCATGTTTGTGGACTATGTTTGCACAATCATTTCAGTGAATGGTAAGAGGGACAAATGCTTGCTGATTTATGTTTAATGGTTGCTTGGTTATATATACTAGGAGACATTTTGAACAAGCCATCACAAATGTCATATTTTGGGTATTTAAAATGACATGCCAGAAGTGGAATCCTGCATATGTTAGCTGAAGTAGATGACTAGCTGAAACAAGATAATGAATGACATATGCAGGATTGTTCTCTGCTTTCCATAGATGCGCTGTTAGTAAAAAATCACGAAGTAGATCTGTCTTCATTATTATCCTTATCAGTAGTTCTGAAATACATTTTTCAACAATAGGACTGTTTGCTGCAAAGAATGATTTCATACTGTTATTTACAAATTCGATAGCTCCGATTTGGGTCAGGTTTAAAAACAGAATAATCAAACCATCTTGTCTGTGATAGATACTGAACTTTGTAAATAACTTTTCCAGAAATGTTGTAACTGGTTTCCAAACTGGGGTTTTGTAAATAGCAAAAACAACACCAAAAACAATTACAAAGGTTTAGATGACCACTCAAAGCAATCGAGGAACCTATTTTTTTCTATTACTACCCTGCCGAGAAATGTATTATATTGATTGTTCTAATTAATAACATTTTTGGATATTAATAACATTATCGGATATTCTGCCAAAGCAAAATAACTGATCTGAAAACACATGCAAATACAGGCATGTCCTTTCGGATTTGTTAGAATTAGTTCTACCAATGAAGAATCAAGGGATACAATTCCCTAGACTGCACCATTTTGGCGATAAATGTTCAGTAAAACCTCCCCTCCCCTCCCCTCCCCTCCCCATGTCCATAAAAAAAAGTACATCTGCAAGAAGGCTAGCCAACAATCCTTCTGACAGCTTGATTTTATATTTCCTTTTCCATGGGGGTGAAGGGTTTTATTTTCATATTAATACATACAACCCCCTTTTGCAGCAAATCCCACAGAGCAAAACAGGATTTACTTCTGAGTAGACATACATAGGATTGTAGCATACTAAAGGCAGTACAGTACAATCCTATC